ATTGCATTTCCAAATAATAAACTTCAGTGCTTTCTCTCCATTCCTTAATGATCTAGCTTTTATTTATTCCACTCCCTCCTATTTATTATTCCATTCTTGAAAATCGAATTCCATCCCCTAGCCAATAATCGACTTCAGTTTTAAATAAACCCCAATACTTTTAACATTTACCTTGATGGCATTCCCCAAACATCATCAGGACTTGCATCCAACTTGACATGATGCAGTGCCTGGCGACGTAATCTAGTCAATCATCTGCTCCGTGTTCTCTAGAATTCACAACAAGTTCGTGGTGTTGATGAAAAGTGTGAAATTCTTGGTGTTAGCCAATCAACTTGTGTTTCCTTTCCAACTTCGACGGACTGACTGACGGGTGGCGATTGAAAAAGCTGTTTGTTGCAGTCACGAACGGACGTAATTGAGTGTTACGCTTAAGGAAGAGTTTTTTTTTTGTTTTCTTCCAATGGATATCTCAACTGTTATTTTTTTCGCTCTCTCTCTCACATTCGAAACGTTCAGCCATTGAAGATATATCACGTGGATTTTATTTCACATGAACTTTTTAGAAAAACAATTTTTTGTTGAAATTCAATTGAGACAAAAGAAAAAGAAAACTAAATGAATTTAAAAGAAAAAAGAATATTTGAGGGAATTAGAAAATTGTTTTAAAATAAAATTTTTACACCCTGCCTACAGTAAAGAGAAAATTTGAGTTATTATTATTTTGAGATTTCAGGCGAAATTTTCTACTGAATCGCAGCTAAAATTGCTAAAATGCCTTTCCAGCATGAACAAGTAAAAATGAAGCTAAGCTTGGCCGGGCCGAATTTTTAATACATTCCACCATTTTGAAGAATCTTGAAATGAAACCTCTTTTATGGGGGCTATACAAAGACGGATTTCGAATTCTGGTGAAAAATACCACTAAATCATCAAAATGACGAGTGGTATCGTTATATGGGGGCTATACGAAAACGTGGACCTGCATAAACAATAAGCTGCAGTGCCCATTCCGAAGTTAGGATACGAAATTTCAAACAATTCTGGTGAATAATACCTATAAAATCATCAAAATACCGAATATAGGGAGGTATCGTTATATGGGGGTTATAGGAATACGTGGAACTGCATACGCGTAATATACACTCGACAAGAATGATATTTGGTACCAGATATCAGATACAGCCCAGAAATACTTCTGTCAAATTTTATCAAGATTGGATCAGATTAGGATATAGCTCCCATATATACCTTTATCCCATTTCAGGTTTACTGTGGACCAAATGGCTAATATTGGCCCAAATGGACTGATATTTGGCACTTTCGACGTATCTCAGCCTAGAAGCTAATGCTTTAAATTTTGTTGAAAATCGGCTCAAATATAGCTATAGCACCCATATATATGTTTCACCCGATTTGGTGTTAAAGTCCCTCACATTCGTAATATGCATTCGACAACAATGATGTTTGGCACCAGATATCAGATACAGCCCAGAAATACCTCTGATAAATTGTTTTAAGATCGGTTCAGATTTGCATATAACTCCCATATATATCTTCAACCGATTTCAGGTTAATTGTACACCAAATGGCCAATATCAGTTCAAATGACCTGAATTTTGACACAACCGACCGACTTCAGTCTAGAAGCAAGTACATAAAATTTGCTGAAAATCGGTTCAGATATAGCTTTAGCTCCCATATACATATGTTTCATCCGATTTAGTCTTTAAGTTCCTTACATTCTTAATATGCATTCGACAACAATGATATTTGGTACCAGATATTTTATAGAGCTCGGAAATGACTTAGCATTTTTTTATCGAGATCGGCTAATATCTGGATATAGCTCCCATATATATTCTTAATACCATTTAAGATTTATTGTCCAAATAATGGCTAATATCAGTCCAAAATGGAGTGAATTTCAACTTCAATGACGATTGATTTGGGGCCCTGCCTTGCCAATTCATCTGCATTCTCATTGCCTGGAATATTTTATTGGCCTGAAACCCAACAGATCTTGATGGACAGCCCAGTATTTCCCAAGCTTTCTGTACTCCAAAGCAGCCATAGGTTTTATTGGTAACGGAATTTACTAGAAAATGTGACATTAATCCCAAAAATACCGAATATCGTAATTCTGAGGAAAAATTGGGTTAGAATCATCAAAATACCTGATATCAGACGGGCACTACAAGAGTACCTTACAAGAACCGTTAGAAACTCTCAATACCGAATTTGAAATAATTCCTTGAAAAAATGTGACAAAAATCATTAAAATACCGAATGTCCATATCGTTACATGGTGATTATATTTAAACGTGGACCGATATATCTCATTTTCAATACCAACCATTCTAGACACTATACAAACTATTTTGCCAAATTTCAAAGCTCTACTTCAAATAATGTGGACTGTGTCAGACGGAAATCGTGAAATCGAATTAGAATTTTTGTTGACCATGACTATACATATGTACTTTTTGGGGTCTACGACGAATATTTAAAGGTATTACAAACCGAACGAAAAATTTAATATACCTTCCTTTCCAAGTTGAAGAGTATAAAAAAGGACCAAAACGAACCCATTTGTGACTCGCTTGTGGAAATAACATTTCGGATCCAAAATACTCCTTATATTGTTACCAGTAAAATTACCCGAATCCCTACATATTTTAGGATCTCAGAAAATCTTAATCCAAAAATTTCAAAAAAATGTGGAAGATGTGGAATTTGACCCCCGAAATTTCAAACCTGACCAAGAACTGATACAAATATTAGGATTTGCAAAGTTTTAACCAAATTGGATGCCATTTTCTTGGTTTTTTTTTTGTGGGGGTGGTACCAGAAAGAGTGGACTCGATCTAAGTTTGACAATATTATTACGATATATCAAGTAAGGACCAAAACGGATACTCCCTTCTAGAGTAATTGTGCACACACCAGCCAGTTAGACAAACAGATGGCCTGACACTTTTAGATCAGCACCAAATTTCCTGAAACGGATTTGGTCGAAAGAGACCTAGGGTTTAAAACCGCTATTTCGATGTGGCACTCTTTTGCTTCAAATAATATACAGGGTAAGATAAAAAAACTGAAATAAGGTCAAACGGCATAATTTTTACATATTTTTTTTAATTTTATTCAATGAAAGCAAAAATGTCGGAAATAGGATCAAATTTTAGAATAAGTTTAGATTTGTTCGAATTGGTCACCATTGGCACGAATTATGGCCTTCAAAGGCCGTTTAAACCGTCACACGCTGCCCGAACACGAACACGCTGTTGCTCTGCGGTATTTTGGTCCATTCCCGACGAGGCGCTTGCTTGAGTTGATCGACACTTTGGTATTTTTTAGTGCCAACCTTGATTTCCAAAATACTCCAGACACAATAGTCCAACGGATTGGTATCCGGAAATTTTGGTGGCCATTGTGCTCTGGAAATGAACCGAGAAACCTCATTTTGTAACCATTCTTGGATGGCGCGTGCTTAGTGCGATGGTGCTGAGTCCTGTTGGAATGTCCAAGGTCTGCGGCCAAAATGTTTGCGTGCCCAAGGCTTTAATACACAATCCAGAATATTTTCGCGATAATATTCGGCTTTTATTCTGATGCCACGGTCGATTAATACGAGCGGAGAGCGACCATCGGCTGTTATGGTGGCCCACACCATCACCATGGTTGGCGCTTGAGTTCTGGTGGCCAACCAAAGGTGCACATTTTCAGCTGACCTCTTTGGCAAGTAAACACGAAAATTTTCATTGTTTACAAACTGCTGGACAACGAATGTTTTCTTATCGGAGAAAACAAAATTCGGCAGTTCACCACTTTCGGCCAAGCGAGGCAACTCTTTAGCTATTTTGAGTCTATTTTCTTTCAGTTGCGGTGTAAGTTCTTCCACTTTTTGGAATGTCAATGGCTTTACCCTGAGCTCATTTTTCAATATTTGCCGAATGGAATATTGAGATATGTTCAGCTCACGAGCCATTTTTCGGCCACTGCGACGCAGATTTCGATGAGGTCGCTTCTTTACTTTTCGGACCATTTTTGCTGATGTTGCTGTTTTCTTCCGTCCACTTCCTTGACGTCGGGCTACGCTACCAGTATTATGGTAACGATCGGTTGTATGAGACACAAAAGATTTATTCACATTTAAATGCTGGTGTGCTCTAACGATAGCCACTTGTGGTTTTCCAGCTAAATATAAGGAAATCACACTATCACGCTTGAATTCCATCACGAAAAACTTTTTTTCCGGAAAATTCTCAACAAATAATAATTTTGATATCGGTCGGACTAGTGGCTTAGAAATGACAGCAGTCTGAAGTTGGTTCCAGGTTTTGTTATCTCACTTTGGATATGCCTTCTGTAGGCATATGACAGAGGGTATAAAGGGCATATAGGAATCATCGTATCGAAATATCGCATGCAAACATTTGACCCCAAGAGGTCTGTGAAAATAGCTCCATTTTCAAATTTGGAATGTGATTTTGAACAACAGTCATTTTCATTATAAAACATGTATCCCTATTTATGACAGCGTTTCCATATACAGAAATATTTAACATTGTCAGACAGTTTTCCTCCCTCAGAAACCACTGTGTTTCGATAAGCCAGCAGACATTCAATGGTTTCTGATATTTTATACAGTTTGCATGTGTTGCTGCATAGTTTGCAATAGTTTTATGCAAAATTCGTTTTTATTAATCAAAGTTTTCGAGACAGCAGACTGCACATGCATGGTTTTCATAGAACAGAAAACTTAAAATGATAAGAAAACGATAGAACACAATAGAAGTAGAAATAGGGAGGTAGTAGTGGTAGTGGTGGGGTATTCACTTGTTCCTCTTTTCCATTCAAATAGTTTCACATTACATTTGTTACTATTTAAAACAATACGTATTTAAAATAAATACAAAAAAAATCCACATCCATTTGAGTATTCGAAAATCTAAAAGTGACAACTAAAACCATGTCCATTCCATTGTCTATTGCAGATAAATTAGAAGCTGAAGCCATTCACACCAATGAACAGCTATTGGCATTCAATGTGCGCAGCAAAGATGTCAATTGGCATGAATATGTTACGCCCAAGAAACCCAGATCCTCACCGGTCTATCTACAGAGGCAGTTTAATTTGATTAGCAATTATCGTGAACCAATTGGCAATCATAATCGACGAAAGGTGTTGCTGTGCCATGACATGATGGGCAATTACTTGGAGGACAGGTAAGTGATGTTAAGCTATAAATTATGTGTTATTTTAAGTTTTTTGTTCTTCTTCTTTTCAGACATTACCACTCGTCGAAGAAATATGATGACTATCGTTTCTATCACTGGTCAGCCGTGGATTATTTTTGTTATTTTAGTCATAAATATATCACAATACCACCTTGTGGTTGGATAAATGCTGCCCATAAACATGGTGTCTCTGTATTGGGTAAGTGTTGAAGAGGGGATGCAATTTTCAATTCCAAAAATGGTTGAATAGATTGGCGACAGGAAAATCTTTCGTCCATACTTCTGTAGAGGAATTTCAATTTAGCTAGGGTATTATTGGATCTGATGTAACATGTTTTGAAAACGATTTAAATAATGATACATCCGGTTTGAAATGTTAAAACAGTCTTGCAATAACGTCGAAGTAATTAGAGATGTAATATAGAAAACATTTGCTAAAAACTGCAGAGGCCACATCACAAACATTTTCCCTATCTCGTCAACACTTGCTGTTAGGGGCCCCCAAAATATGGGGCCTTCCAAATGTCTAATGAAAACAGTTGTGATGCTTATATCTTGTAAACCGTTTGAAATTTTCTCTCTGAGACGTGTACAACAAAAATTCCGAACACATCAGCTTAGATTGAGTTCAGAAATGGGTTATATCGCTCCATCCCTTCTGGTACCTCCCCCGCAAAAGGTCAACATTTTCACAGAAATTTATTTACCTTTTAGAACAAGACAGGACCGTCCTATTTTGTGAAAACTTTGTAAAGTTTAATATTTTTATCAGTGCTACTTCAGTTGTAAATGTTGGCAGGGTCCTCCTACTCATTCTAGTACCTCTCCCGCAAGGGTTCAACATTTGACTAATCACAACGGTTTTAAAATTTGAAATAAGATCCTTATGTCTTCATATTTCGCATATCTCAATATTTTAACCAACTCTAGATCTTTTGTAAAGATGGTATTGAGCCGTCCACACCTTCTGATAACTCCCCCACAACGGGCAAAAATTTTTAATAACCTACATTTTTAAGCCAAATATTTTTATTAATTCAAGATCGGGTGTGAAGATTGAATATATCGGTCCACCCCTACTGGTACCTCCCCCAGTAAGGGGTCAACATTTTGAATAACCATAAAGACCATAAAATGCGAAATAAGCATCCGATTCTCATCAAATTTCAGTCATCACAAAATTTTTGCTAACGTGAGTTCTGATGTGAAGATGATCAATATTGGCCCACCTCTTATGGTACGTCCTCTACAAAGTGTGACAATTTCAATATTTATTTCACTCAATATTTATTTCACTCAATATTTATTTCACTTGGTATATCAAAATATTTCTCTTGATCAGAGATCTGATTTAAATGTAGTGAAGGATGTAGTCGATATAGTCCACAAAATGGACAATATTGTGGCCCTCTCTTTAGAAACGTCCGCCATAAAGGGTCAAGTTTAGATTTGTTCGAATTGGCCACCTTTGGCATGAATTATGGCCTTCAAGCGTTTCATGTCCAAGGCTTCAATACACCCTCCAGAATATTTTCGGCATAATATTCGGCATTTATTCTTACGCCACGGTCGATTAATACGAGCGGAGAGCGAACATCGGCTGTTATGGCTGCCCACACCACCACCATGGCCGGCGTTTGAGTTCTGGTGAGCAACCGAAGGTGCACATTTTCAGCTAACCTCTTTGCAAGTAAACACGATCATTTTGATTGTTTACAAACTGCTGGACAACGAATGTTTCCTCATCGGAGAAAACCAAATTCTGCAGTTCACCACTTTCGGCAAAGGAAGCAACTCTTTAGCTCTTTTGAGTCTATTTTCGTTCTTTTGCGGTGTAAGTTCTTGCACGTTTTGGAATTGTAATGGCTTTACCCCGAGCTCATTTTTCAATATTTTCCGAATGGAATATTGCGATATATTCAGCTCACAAGCCGTTTTTCGGCCACTGCGACGCGGGTTTCGATCAAGTCGCTTCTTTACTTTTCGAACCATTTCTGCCGATATTACTTTTTTCTTCGGTCCATTTCCTTGACGTCGGGCTACGCTACCAGTATCACGGTAACGAGCGATGGTATGAGACACAAAAGATATATTCACATTTAAATGCTGGAGTACTCTAACGATAGCCACTTCTGTTTTTCCAGCCAAATAAAAGAAATCACACTATCGCGTTTGAATTCCATCACGAATAATTTTTTTTCTGGAAAATTCTCACCTAAATGCTTTTGTACGCTTGTAAACAATATAATGAGCTATCATTGGAATAATTTTAATAGTTGTCCGACGAGTGGCTTAGAAATGACAGCAGTCTAAAGTTGGTTTCAGTTTTTTCATCTCACTCTGTAAATCTGTAGTCAAACCCGACTAATACTTTTTAACTTGTTATATTCCTATAGTATGTTTGTAATTCGGTTTGTTGCTACGCGAAATGTCCCATTTCTGATTAACTTAAATTATTTATATCCGTCCGCCTGTAGTAATTTTGCAATTACGCTACGCTCCTCAGATGAAACCCATTTATTTCCTTTCATACACTTCCCAGAAGTAAATATATGACCTTTACATGGCCAGTTCGGCTACCTACTTGTTTTACCGTTTTGCAAATGGGTCAGAAATAAATCCAATATCATTTACATTTTTTATTTTTGATATTTTCAAAAGAAAAAAATTAAATGCGTATAAATCCACATTATATGTAGATTTTATCATTTTTTAATTAACATTCGTCATTATTTTCTTTTGTATGTGTGTATGTGTGCAACTGTAGATGAATCGACCACACATACAATATTTACACACTCATGTACATATTTATAAATTTGTAGTGGCAACTTGTATGCAAACAGATTGCCTTAAATGCTTTTTCATGTCGATGGATGCAAAAAACGCCGATACCCAGAGAGATCTTTGATCAACTGTTTTTTATTCAGGTTATAATTAAAGGAATTTGGAGTAACAAGTAAAACAGTATCAGGCGGTTTTAACGACAGATGTATACCTCCAGCCTTGAGTTATGATTATTCAAACTGTTGACCCTTTATGGGGGAGGTTCCGAAGTGTCCAATTCGTATCTGACCTAAGATTGATATAAATATTACAACGTGCCAGATTTAGACTATATCGACTTCTTCCGATACTTTATATCAGATGTGCAATTTTTAGGAAAATGTGGAATTATGCGTGAGGTACCAGATATAGTGAACAGAGGTACTCCATTTTCATACTTCATCTAATACAAATAAAAATATTGATTGGTATGTGCAAAATTTTAAACTCCGATAAATTACATGTTCATATCAGATTTCTGGTAAAGAAAAGTATTTAGATATAGCAAGTTGTTAAGATCGACTACTTGTTCGCAAGTTATGAAAGATATAAGCATTGAAAATTGTGACCCTTTGTGGGTGAGGTACCAGAAGGAGTTCACAGATATATATCATCTTCACAACAGATCTTGTGTTAATGGAAATACTGAGATCTACCAAATCTCAATAAAATCGAAGTTTAATTTCGCGTTTTATGAGCTTCATTGGTATTCAAAAATTTGATCCCTTATGGGGGAGATACCAGAAGGAGTGGACCGAAATATTTCTTCTTTACAACAGAGAACCGGATGCTTATTTCGGGTTTTTGTGATCGTTTTTGTTATTCAAAACTTTGACCCTTTGTGAGGGAGGTACCAGAAGGAATAGTCCGATCTCTACCATCTTTATAACAGATCTTGTGTTGATGGAAATATTGAGATGTGCCAAGTCTGAATGGAATTGGATGTTAATTTCGTGTTTTATGAGCTTCATGAATATTCAAATTTTTGACCCTTTGTGGGGAAGGTACCAAAAGGAGTGTACCGATATATTCCATCTTCACACCAGACCTTGGATTAATAAAAATATTGTACTTTAAAAACAATCGGACTCTTACATCACATTTTGTAAGAGTTAAAAATATTCAAAATTGTGACCCTTTTAGGAAGGAGGAGAGGGCCGATATTGTCCATATTCGCACCTGACCTAGCACTGATGCAAATATTAGTATTTGCAAAGTTGGAACAAAATCGGATTATCGTTTCTCTTTCTGTGCAGAGAATATATTTTTTTGAAAATGTCATTCTTTTGTCTGGGAGGTACCAGAAGGAGTAGACCGATATATTCCATCTTAACACTTGACCTTGGGTCAATAAAAATATTGGGATGTGTGAAATTTGAAGACAATCGGACTCTTAAATCACATTTTATAAGAGTTGTAATTATTCAAAATTTTGACCCTTTGTGGGGGAGGTACTTGATGGAGTGGACCGATATTGTCCATTTTTGCACCTGACGTAGAACTGACGCAAATATTAAAATTTTGAAAGTTGGAGAAAATCTGGATTATCCTTTCTCTTTCTGTGAAATAAAATATTCTTTGAACATTTCGGAAACGGAAGAAGTTGACCTATATTGTTCATCTCCGAACTCGATCTAAATTTTATAATAATATTCCGATGTACCAGGTCTTGGATCAAATCGGATACTCCCTTCGAGAGTTATCGTTCCAGCAGCCAGACAGACATACAGACGGACAGACATCGCTGGATCGACTCCAAATGTCCTGAAACAGATTTGGCCCAAAGAGACCTAGGGTCTAAAACTGTTATTTCGATAAGGCACGTTTTTACCGTATCAAATGATATATACCATCTCCAGCCATATGGCTAAAGGTGGGAATACACAAAGCGCTTATCTGGCTGGCTTCTTCGGAATTGAACAAAGGAGCCTAGGACCAAAATCGAACTAAGTCAACCTAAAACTCCTTTGTTCATCTACGAAGAAGCCAGCCGATGATTTAAGCCAGCCAAATATACGCTTTATGTATTTCCAGCCTAAGGGTCTAAAAATAGACTTTAGCAGAGGTCTTCATAGTTCTAGCCAATATCAAAGAAATTTGGAAAAAGTGTGGCATTTGTAGTTGTTCGTGCCAAATTGGTCTAAAATATTCAATACTAATACAGGGTTGCCCATATTCGACGAACCCATGACTCTTTTGGCCCATTCCAATCGACGAGGCTTGTCCGCAGGCAACATTCTTTGCGTCAATTGAATTTTGTACGGGAACAAATGCAAATCAATGCGAATAATCCGTTGTAAAGTGGACCGAGCCATGCCCAACTGCTGAGAACGGCGTTTTTGGGATGTTCTTGACTGGCTCGTACGGCAGCGATATTCTCGGCCGATCGCCTTGGTCGACTTTTATATGGCCTCTTCGGATTAGAAAGAACCTTACCAGTCGAAAATTTTTCGTATAAACGCTTAATGGTGTTCTTAGAAGGCGCACTTCTCACATGCGCACATTAATGTTTTAAAAGCAAGTTGAGTTTTCACAATTGACTTCTTCTGTTGAATGTAAATTTCAACTATTTCAGAGCGTGGCGTGTATTGGTTCATGGTAAAAATCTGCTTGGACTGACGCTTCAAACGTGGTATGTCATTAAGCGATGTGACAAAAGTTATGGCGTTGCCAGATGGGTCCGTCGAATATGGACAACCCTGTACATATTTGAAACATACTATTAATGAAACATGCTATTAAAAAGGGGTTGTAATTTCATACCTTGAATTTTCCTGGGAATTCACACAACGAGGAATGCTGAAAAGAGATGTCTTGGATTAATTTCGAGGAATTTGAATATAATTAATTGTCATTATCTTAAAAATGAAATTCAATTCCACATTTGTAATAAAATTGAATTTTGGCTAAAAATATCCAATCTCCCATGTCATGCACAAATTTGTTCTTTGGGTTATTATCTTAAATCCTTTAAACATCGATATATAAACACACACACTCACGTGTAATGCTCAATTTGCAAGTGTATTGCATTTCATTAAAAAACAAAATTTACATTATTTCATCTCTCCGTTCTTCTTCGTCTTCTTTGCAGGTACTTTCATAACGGAGGGTTCGGATGGAGCCAAACGTTTACACGACATTCTGGCATCAACGGAAATGATAGACAATATTGTGGACGCTATGGTGAAATTATGCAAACATTACCACTTTGAAGGTTGGCTCATCAACGTTGAGTGCAAAGTGGAATCGGATTCAATGGAAAATTTATAGTAAGTAAATTGTATGGAAAAAAAGGTACGACTTGAAGTGGGGTTTTTCGCAGAGACCATTACACTTTTTTTGCAAAGACTTTTTGGCGTCGAAGTGAAATGGCCATACATTGTTTGACGCTTTTTATAGCTTTTTAAGAGGGGAATTTCGTGGCGATTTCATTTTTTGTTATTGAGAATAATTTTATGTGAATATGATTTAGGTGATGGTTTAAATTGATTAATTTCAGAGGTTTCATTTGGTAGTTTTAATATCATACACAACTGGGTGTTATTTTATGCCTGGCTTTTTATACCCTACACCACATAGTGGTAAGGGTATTATGTCTTTGTGCATTTGTTTGTAACATGGAGAAGGAAACGAGATAGACCCATAGTTACTTTTGAGAACCTTCATAGAATCACTTTCTGAGTCGATTTATGCATGTCCGTCCGTCTGTCCGTCCGTCCGTCCGTCCGTCCGTCCGTCCGTCCGTCCGTCCGTCCGTCCGTCCGTCCGTCCGTCTGTCCATGTATTCTTGTGAACAAAATGCAGGTCGCATTTATTATCCGATTGAGATGAAATTTTCCAAACAATATTTTTTTGGCCCAAGGACGAACCCTATTGAAATTGGTGAGAATCGGATCAAATTTAGATATAGCTCCCATATATATCTTCATCCGATTTCGGGTTAAATGAGCACCAAATGTCCACTATCAGTCCAAATTACCTGAATTTTGGCACACCCAACCGGGTTCGGCCTAGAAGCAAGTATATCAAATTTGGAGAAAATCGGTTCAGATATAGCTATAGCTCCCATATATATCTTTCATCCGATTTGATCTTTAAGTCCCTCACATTCCTACTATGCACTCCACAACCGTGATATTTGGTACCAGGTATTAGATGGAGCACAGAAATAGCTGTTTTAAATTTTATCGAAATCGGTTCAGATTTGGATATAGCTCCCATATATATCTTCATCCGATTTCGGGTTAATTGACCACCAAATGGCCAATATCAGCCCAAATGGCCCGAATTTTGGCACATGTGACCGAGATTAGCCTTAAAGTAAATACAACAAATTTGGAGAAAATCGGTTCTGATTTGGATATAGCTCCCATATATATCTTCATCCGATTTCGGGTTAATTGTGCTCCAAATGGCCGATATAAGCCCAAATGGACTGAATTTTAGTACATCGGACCAAATTCAGCCTAGAAGCAAGTATATCAAATTTAGTGAAAATCGGTTCAGATATAGATATAGCAAGCATATATATGTTTCATCCGATTTAGTGTTTTAGTCCCTTACATTCGTAATGTTCACTCCACAACCGTGATATTTGGTACCAGATATAAGGTACAGCCCAGAAATAGCTGTTTGTAATTTTATCGAAATCGGTTCAGATTTGGATATAGCTCCCATATATATCTTCATCCGATTTCGGGTTAATTGTGCACCAAATGGCCGATATAAGTCCAAATGGACTGAATTTTAGTACATCGGACTAAATTCAGCCTAGAAGCAAGTATATCAAATTTAGTGAAAATCGGTTCAGATACAGATATAGCAACCATATATATGTTTCATCCGATTTAGTGTTTTAGTCCCTTACATGTGATATTTGGTACCAGGTATTAGATGGAGCACAGGAATAACTGTTTTAAATTTTATCGAAATCGGTTCAGATTTGGATATAGCTCCCATATATATCTTCATCCGATTTCGGGTTATTGACCACCAAATGGCCGTAATAGCATCAATTTTGGCAAATCCGACCGAAACCAGCTTAAAAGCAAGTACACCAATTTTAGTAAAAATCGGTTCAGATATAGCTATAGCTCCCATATATATGTTTCATCCGATTTCGTCTTTAAATCCCTCACATTCGTAATATGCACTCCACAGAAATGATATTTGGTACCAGTTATCAGATAAAGCCCAAAAATAGTTGATTTTAATTTTATTAAAATCTGTTCCGATTTGGATATGCCTCCCATATATATCTTCATCCGATTTCGTGTTAATTGTGCATCAAATGGCCAATATCAGCCCAAATGGCATGAATTTTGGCAAATCCGACCGAAACCAGCCTATAAGCAAGTACACACATTTTAGTAAAAATCGGTTCAGATATAGCTCTAGCTCCATATATATGTTTCATCCGATTTGCTCTTTAAGTCCCTTACATTCGTAATATACTCTTCACAGGAATGATATTTGGTACCAGATATCAGATAAAGCCCAAAAATAGTCGATTTTGATTTTATAAAAATCTGTTCAGATTTGGATATAGTATAGCATAGCATACTCTTCACAGGAATGATATTTGGTACCAGATATCAGATAAAGCCCAAAAGTAGTCGCTTTTAATTTTCTCAAAATCTGTTCAGATTTGGATATAGCACCCATATGTATCTTCATTCGATTTCGAGTTAATTGTGCAACAAATGGCCAATATCAACCGAAATGGCATGAATTTTGGCATATCTGCCCAAATTCAGCCTAGAAGCAAGGACACCAATTTTAGTAAAAGTCGTTTCAGATATAGCTATAGCTCCCAAATACATCTTCATCCGATTTCGGATTAAATGTGCAGCAAATGGCTAATATTGGTACATCAAATTTAGTGAAAATCGGTCGGATACAGCTATAGCTCCTATATATACCTTTCATCCGATTTGTACTTTAAGTCCCTCAAATTCGAAAAATGTACGATACAAGAATAATATTTGGTATCAGATGCAGCCAAGAAATATCTTCTTTTTCAGTTTTACAAATATCGGTTCAGATTTGGATATACCTCCTATATATATATTCATCCAATTTCGTGTTGATTGCGCACCAAATGTCCAATATCAGCCCAAATGTCCTGGGTTTTGGCAAATCTGACCGAATTCAGCCTAGAATCAAATACATCAAACTTGGTGAAAATCGGTTCAGATATAGCTATAGTTCGTAAAATGCACGATAGAATTAGATAGATTTTGATTTTGTACCAAATATCTCATAGAGCTCTGAAATGCCCTGTATAAACCTTTTTACGAGAGCTCTACTAAATATGCATAGTGGTGTAGGGTATCATATAGTCGGCCCCGCCCGACTTTTGAGCTTTCCTTACTGGTTATATTCCTCATCATGTAGGAGAGTATATACAATTTTGTAATTTTAGTAATAACTTATCAAATTAACCATTAATTAACCATCGGGGGTGCCTTTATATGAGGGTTTTACGAAAAAGCAGGTAATTTTCTACATGGAAGATTTCTACATTTTGATGGAAAAATTTACTAACGGTTCTCCTTACATAGGGACCTCACCCAACAAGGAACGAAGTGGCCCATTTTATACCCTCAGGCAGATGGCTAGAGAGGGTATACATCATTTGATACGGCCAAAACGTGCCTCATCGAAATAATGGTTTTTAACCAAATCCGTTTCAGGACATCTGGAGTCGATCTAGCGGTGTCCATTCGCCCGTTCGTCTGTTTGTCTGTCTGGCTGGTGCGCACGATAACCCTCGAAGGAAGTATCCGATTCTTTTTAAACTTGGTACATCGTAATATTACTATCAAACTTAGATCGAGTTCGAAGATGGGAAATATCGGTCCACCTCTTCTGGTACCTCCACCACAAAAGTTCGAAATGTTCTAAAAAAAAATATTTTACTGCTCAGAAAGAGAAGGATAATCCGATGTTGCTACAACTCTGCAAACCCTAATATTTGCATCAGTGCTAGGCTAGATGCGAAAATGGACAATGTCGGTCCACTCCATCAAGTACCTCCCCCAAAGAGGGTCAAAATTTTGAATAACCACAACGATTATAAAATCCGAAGAAAGCATCCGATTTTCTGCATATTTCACACATCGCATTATTTCCACTAATACAAGATCTGATTCGAAGATGGAATATATTGGTCGATTCCTTCTGGTATCTTCCCCAAAAAAGGGAGAATACCCATAAAGTTCATAAAACGCGAAATTAACATCCGATTCCACTTGGACTTGGCACATCTCAATATTTCTATTAACACAAGATCTGTTATAAAGTTGGGAGGGGTCGAACCATTCTTTCTGGTACCTCCCCCACAAGGGGTCAACATTGTGAATATCAATGGTGCTCATAAAAGGCGAAATTAACATCCGATTCCATTCAGAATGGACCCACATCTGATTTTTCTGTTCAAAACTATTTCAACGTCTCCATATGTAAACCTTAGAATCCAACAGTGACCTAAATATTAAATTTCTGGATTACAGCTCTATACAGTGTGAGATAAAAAAACTGCAACAAAGTCAATTTTTAAATTTTATTGAATGAAAGCAAAAAAATTCGGAAATAGAATCTAATTTTAGAATACGTTTAGATTTGTGCGAATTGGTCACCTTTGGCACGAATTATGGTCTTCAAACGGCCAATGAAACCGTCACACGTTGCCCGAATGTTGCTCTGCGGTATTTTGGCCCATTCCAGGCGAAGGGCTTGCTTGCGTTGATCGATACTTTGGTATTTTTTAGTGCCAACCTTGCTTTCCAAAATACTCCAGACACAATAGTCCAACGGATTGGTATCCAGAGATTTTGGTGGCCATTGTGCGCTGGAAATGAAGCGAGGAACCTCATTTTGTAACCATTTTTGGGTGGCGCTTGCTGAGTGCGCCACCCCAGTGCTGTGTCGTGTTGGAATGTCCCTCCAGAATATTTTCGCGATAATATTTGGCATTTATTCTGATATCACGGTCGATTAATACGAGCGGAGAGCGACCATCGGCTATTATGGCAGCCCACACCATCACCATGGCCAGCGCTTGAGTTCTGGTGGCCAACCGAAGGTGCACTTTTCACCTGACCTCTTTGACAAGTAAACACAATAATTAAGTTTATTTTCAAACTGCTGAACAACGAATATTTTCTCACCGGAGAAAACCAAATTCGGCAGTTCACCACTTTAGGCCAAGCGAAGCAACTCCTCAGCTCTTTTGAGTCTATTTTCTTTCTGTTGCGGTGTAAGTTCT